AAAAAAAAAATTCATTTTCTGTTGGCATTTTGAGTGAACAATTTAAGAATATATACATTTTTTTTGTGGATCAACCATGTTTTTTGATCGTTTAGAATATTATCATCAATTTGAACAAGTATTAGATCGAAATAATCGTAAATGGTGGATATGCGAATTATGGCTTCTCATTATTCAAACTGGACGTTTTCTATTCTATGTTATACTTAGTTTTATGGATGAATCCGTAATACGATCATACTGTCCATATGATACAACCGCTGCACCATTATTTCATTATTTTACTCATTTGGATGATGGAACATCATTGAATCTTACCGATTGCCGTATAACATCGATTATATTTTTAATTTTTTACATATTTGTTTTACACAGTCAATATACTTTGTTTTTAACTGATCATAATTCATTAACATGGCATTTATTATATGATATTTCCAATCGTAATTATGATCATTTTCGTGATTCATTCATTTATGGGAAAAGAATGAATATGATAAAAATGGCGATCCAAATGTTAAGTAATAACAATGAGCATACGTTGAATTCATCATCAAGAATAATAAATGATCATCGCTTAGCAAAAATGTTGAAAAAAAATCGCAAAACTTTTATTGATAAATTTTTCATACAGCTTATGTTGAATATAAATCTTCATAAATTTGAAAAATTAAGTTTGAAAATATTCCCCTATGCCGGTTTAATGCAACGAATCGCATTAGCAATGACAATGTTGACATTACATTTTATGGATGTATTTTTGTTGATATTGGTTATATCTACCACATTCACTCTTGGTTGTTTGATGTATTTCGATTTTATCTACATTCATATGCTGAATATATGGCCATTGGCCATAATCGATTGTATTAATCATCTATATTGTGGCTATATTTTCCTACGAAATTGTACGCTTTATTTCAATTTTGCTTCAATTAGTCTTGTATTTTATGCATTACAAATGAATAGCTTGAATAGAAAGCTTAAAAAAGTTTTTGGCAATCACAGACATATGATAAATTTGCGATTAAATTATTTACGTCAATTAGTTTGGCGACAATTTCAACGACGACATCAACATATTGCATATTGTATAATGTATAGTGGTATGGAAATTTGGAATGGTGTATTCTTTATGGGCATAATTGCTAATATTCCCTTAAATATAATGTGCATCTATAATATTGTATTCAAATATAATTCATTAAATAATGAATTTATATATTTAGGATTTATAATATTTCAAACTTTTGTCTTATCCACTGCTATTGTAATTGTATCAGAAATAAATTTTTTAGCTCATCAATTTAAACGACAATTACCAATCATGCAATTTTGTATGAAAGAACCATCAATAAAATGGCAAATTAATGAATTCCATGAACGTTTAACAACTACCGAAAATGGTTTTGGTTTTTATTGCGGTCGTATTGCTATTATTAATTATCATAATTCTTTTCAGGTAAGTTAATTTGAAGAATTAAATAAAGAATTTCATTTCTATTCAACAAATCTATTTTTTTCGAAAAAAAATCTAGCTTTTAATGTCATATTTTGGCTTTATGTTGATAATGTTTAAATTCTTTTTCAATAATAATGTCTAAATTATATCGAAATAAATAATATAGAATAATTAATCTGTGGAAAAAAATATTCCCATGGATACTTCAAAATTGACAACAACAAAAAAAAATATATCATCGCTTATTTTCCCTGTAATTAACATTCAACTTTAACGCATTTATTATCAGCAAATTATATTATGAATTCTGATCATTATTAAATTATTCTTGTGTTATAATAATAAAAAAGATTAATCCGAATCCGTTAAACACAAAAAAATACATTATAAAATTAAAGATAATATACTTGAATTGAATCGATTATAAGACGTTTTATTATTTTTTTTCAAAGAAATTTTACCACCTTGGAGATTAATATTCTATGAACAATTTTCATTTGGAAAATGATTCAATAATTACTTTTTTTTCTGTTAGATTTGTTTATTACTTTCTTTATTTCATTCTTGTTTCATTGGTCTTTACAGTTGTTGTTATCATATATTCTCGATTACTTTGATCAACAATGTTGATTGATCGTCTAAAATTTCATCATCAATTTGAACAATTAATGGATACAAATAATCGTCAATGGTGGTTATTTGAATTCATAATACTCACCATTCAAACAGGACGTTTTCTGTTCTATGTTATTCTTAGTTTTATGGGTGAATCGGTTTTACGTTCATATTGTCCATATGATACAACCGCTGCACCATTATTTCATTATTTTAATCATCAAAACAATGGAACACCATTAAATCTTACTGATTGTCGTTTAACATCAATTATTTTGACATTTTTTTTCTTTTTTATTCTACATAGTCAATATATAATATTTTTAACTGATCATAATTTTATTGCATGGCGATTATTATTTGATGTTTCCAATCGTAATTATGATCAATATCGTGTATCGATAATCAATGGACAAAATATGAATATTTCTAAAATGATAATCAAAACATTGTTTTATAGAAATAAATTCAATAAAACTATATCGAATTCATCATCAAAAATGATGCATAATGTTTTGAAAAAAATGATAAGAAAAAATGAAAAGAATTTCTTGGATAAATTAATCATACAGTTAATGTTATATATTGATCTTTATAAATTTGAAAAATTACGTTTAAAAGTATTCAGCTATGCTGGTTTAAAACAAAGAATCGAATTGGCTATTACAATGTTTACTTTACATTGCATTGATGTTTTCATGATGATATTGGTTATATCAACTACATTCAATCTTGGTTGTTTAAAATATTTTAATTTTATCCATATTCATATGATGAATTTATGGCCATTTGCAATAATCGATTGTATTAATCATCTTTATTGTGGATATATTTTCATTAGAAATTGTACACTTTATTTTAATTTTTCTTTAATTAGTCTTATTTACTATGTATTACAGATGAATAGTTTAAATAGAAAACTTAATCAGGTGTTTGGCAATCATCGAAATTTGATGAATTCTCAATTAAATTATTTACGTCAATTAATTTGGCAACAATTTCAACGACAACATCAACATATGACACATTGTTTAATGTATAGTGGTCTGGATATTTGGAATAATGCTTATTTTATTGCAATAATTTCAAATATTCCATTCAACATATTATGTATCTATAATCTAATATTTCGTTATAATTCATTGAATAACCGATTTATGTATTTAGGTTTTTTAATATTTCAAACATTTATCATTTTCACTATTGTTTTAGTTGCAACATTATTAAATTTTTCATTTCATCAATTCAAACAACAATTACCAATCATACAATTATGTATGAAAAAATCATCATCAATTAAATGGCAAGTGAATGAATTTTATGAACGTTTAACAACCACTGTTATTGGTTTTGGTATTTATTGTGGTCGTATTGCTATTATTAATTTTCAAAATTCTTTTCAGGTAATATTCCATAATATTTTCAATATTCAATCAATGGAATAATATTCTTTTACTTTTCATTTTCATTTTTCAGCTTTTAATCTCATATTTTGGCTTCATGATGATAATGTTTACATTTTTTCGTAATAATAATCTCTAAATTATTATCAATCATAATAGTTTTTTTGTTGTTTTTAATTTGTCAATTTTGTTTTCAATGATTCAAATATTCTGGTTAATTGGAATTTTAAAGTATTGATTGAATGAAAAACAAAAAGTAAAAATCAATTATTATTTTGTCATAGAAACCAGAAAGGTGAAAAATTCATTTAAAATTTTTCAGTCAAAATTGATAATCATCATTTTAAATTGAAACAAAACAATCCAAAAAGTCGACATTTAAATTTTCAATTTGGTTGCCAACAAACATTATCTAATTAAATGGAAATTGAATGATAAAAAAATTATCAGGTAGTTTTTTTATTATTATTCGAAAAGAAAGTGAGATCTTTTTTTCAAGAACAATTTTCGATCATCATTACCGATTATGACTGAGAATAAGCATTACATTTTTCTTTTATTCATTCTATTATTCTATCTTTATTCTGTTTATACTTTATTCACATTTGTAAAAACATATTTGCTTTGATTATTGATTCTTTATATGATGAATGAATTACACCTTTGAAAACTTTTCAAAAAAAAAAAATTAACCAATTAATTATGTTGTTTTCTTCCGCAAAGAAAAATGATTAGTTAAAAAAAGCAATAATTTTCCCCTCTCTCTCTCTCTCTCTCTTAGTTGTACTTTGTAAAATGTCAAACATATTTTATTTTTACAATTCTCCTTGACAAAAAAAATAGCTTTGTACTTGAACAATAACGTTTTCAAAACAAAAAAACAATTAATCTTCCATCTTTAATGATTTTTTTTTCGCAAACAATTTTCACTGCAAACATAGTGAAATTCATCAGTTATTTCATTTTCATTTGACATTTTGTGGATGATTGCTACACTTTTTTTTTCATTAATCAACAATGTTGCTGGATCGTCTAAAATATTATCATCAATTTGAACAATTATTGAATCCAAAAAATCGTCTATGGTGGCAATGTGAATTGATAATGATCACCATTCAAACCGGGCGTTTTCTGTTCTATGTTTTACTTAGTTTTATGGGTGAATCTGTATTACGATCATATTGTCCATATGATACAACTGCTGCACCATTATTTGATTATTTTAATCATTTGAATAACGGAACACCATTAAATCTTATTGATTGTCGTCTAACATTGATTATATTGACAATATTTTTGATTTTTATTCTACACAGTCAATATATGTTATTTTTAAATGATCATAATTCAATAACATGGTGTTTACTATATGATATATCCAATCGTAATTATGATCATTATCGTAATTCAATTGTTCATGTACAAAATGTAGATATGATTAAAACAGTGATCAGAACGTTCAATAATTGTTATGAATTCAATGAATCTATGCTAAATTCATCGCCTAGAATCATACATGATTGTTTAGCAAGAATATTGAAAAAAAATCCAAAAAATTTTATTGATAAATTAATCATTCAGCTAATGTTGGATATCGATATTTATAAGTTTGAAAAATTACAATTACAAGTATTCAGCTATGCCGGTTTAAAGCAACGAATGGCATTAGTAATGACAATGTTTTTATTAAATTGTTTGGATGTATTTTTGTTTATATTGGTTATATCGACTACATTAAATTTTGCCTGTTTAAAATATTTTAATTTTATTCGTATTCATATGTGGAATTTATGGCCATTAGCATTATTTGATTGTATTAATCATATTTATTCTGGTTATATGTTAATTAGAAATTGTACACTTTATTTTAATTTTTCTACAATTGGTTTTGTATTTTATTCATCACAAATGAATAGCTTGAATAAAAAACTTCGAAAGATTTTCGAAAATAGTAGACATATGATAAATTCTCGATTGAATTATTTACGTCTAATGGTATGGCGTCAATTTCAACGACAACATCAACATATGACATATTGTATAATGTATAGTGGTTTGGATATTTGGAACGATGTATTCGTAATTGGTTTACCTGCAAATATACCATTGAATATAATGTTTATCTATTATATTGTATTCGATCAACGTAATGAAAAATTATTATATGTTTTATTTTTATTTTTACAAATAACAATATTACCGGCAATTATACATTTGNATGATAAATTCTCGATTGAATTATTTACGTCTAATGGTATGGCGTCAATTTCAACGACAACATCAACATATGACATATTGTATAATGTATAGTGGTCATGATGTTTGGAATGTTGTATATTTTATGGGTATTATGGCCAATATTCCATTGAATATAATGTTGATCTATAATCTTGTATTTCGTTATAATTCATTCAATAATCAATTTATGTATTTAGGATTCCTCATATTTCAGATGTTTATTCTATCCAATGTTATTTATGTTGCATCATTATTGAATTTTTATTTCCATCAATTTAAACGACAATTACCAATCATACAATCATGTATGAAAAAACCACCATCAATTAAATGGCAGGTAAATGAATTTTATGAACGTTTAACAAACACCGATACTGGTTTTGGATTTTATTGTGGTCGTATTGCACTTATTAATTATCATAATTCATTTCAGGTAATGTAATATATTTGTATCAAATAAATAATTTTATAAAACAACTTTTTTAATTAATTATTTTTTTTCTGTTGTAACTACTAATAGCTTTTAATTTCATATTTTGCCTTCATGTTGATAATGTTTAAATTCTTTTTAAATAATAATATCTAAAAATTTTCATGTTACGCAATTAAATAAAATCAATTTTTTGTTCACATAAAAAAATGATGTATTTTTTATGAATTATTCATTAGTAAAAAATTCTCTATGTGGCCATCAATCGATCGTGTATGACAATCTTTGTTCGGAAAAAAATATGTCGAAGGAAACAAAAAGTGAATCATTTTGTCATAGAAACCTTAAATGATCAAATTCATTAACTGTTTTATTTAAGAGAAAACAATAAGTTTTAAACTTTTATTTAATAAAAAAAACGTAAAAGATCCAGAAAAAAAATTGTACTTTTTTTTTATTTTGTTTCGTTGTTGTGAAAAATCCATTACGAAATAAGTGAAGAAAAAAACCATGAATTCCATGAATGAAATTCATATAAAAATCATATCATATTCGTCGACAAAAAAATAATAATAATAATTTACCAATTCATAATTTTCATCTTGATTCATTCTTTCTTTCGTAAGGTTCTTCGTAAATTCTCCAGTTGTCCTAATCAATTCATTTGTTGATTGCATTTGCAAAAATACCTGTTTTAATTCGACAATGTTTTTCGATCGTTTAAAATATTATTATCGATTGGAACAAATATTGGATCAAAAAAATCGTCGTTGGTGGTTATTTGAATTTCTATTGATCATCATTCAAACTGTACGTTTTTCATTCTATGTTTTACTTAGTTTTATGAATGAATCTTTCGTACGTTCATATTGTCCATATGATACAACTGCTGCACCATTATTCAATTATTTTCATCATCTAGATAATGGAACATCATTAAATCTAACTGATTGTTGTATAACATCGATTATATTGACAATTTTTACAATTTTCATTCTACATACACAGCATATAATTTTTTTAAATGATCATAAATCACTTACATGGAATTTTCTATACGATATTTCTAATCGTAATTATGATCATTTTCGTAGATCAATTTATCATGGTAAAGATATGAATATGATTCAAACGGTAATCAAATCATTAAGTAACGAAGAAAATTTTGATAAAACAATATCATCATCATTAGCAACATCATCGGAAATGATGCATGATTCTTTGGTAAGAATGTTGAATAAAAATCATAAAAGTTTCCTAGATAAATTAATCATTCGGTTAATGTTGGAAACAAATCTTCATAAATTTGAAAAATTACGTTTAAAAATATTTAGCTATGCTGGTTTAAATCAACGAATCGCATTGGCAATGACAATGTTTACATTACATTTTATGGATGTATTTTTGTTAACATTTGTTATATCCACTACATTTACACTTGCTTGTTTGAAATATTTTGAATTTATCTACAATCATATGTTGGATTTATGGCCATTAGCATTGTTCGATTGTATTTATCACCTTTATTGTGGTTATATTGCTTTAAGAAATGCTGTACTTTATTTTGATTTTGCATTAATAAATTTTACATTTTTTGCATCACAAATGAATATATTGAATAAAAAAATTATGAAAATATTTGGTAAACGTAAATCAACGTTTATCAATGTACAGCTATATATTTTACATAGTGAATATGTAATATTTTTAACCGATAGAAATTCTCTAGCATGTCGGTCATTATATGATATTACCATTCGTAATTATGATCATTTTCATAATTCAATTATTCGTGGAAAAAATATGAATATAATAAATAAGGCGATCAAAACTGTTATAAATAATAACAATGAATCTAATGAATCAATATCAATTACGACCAAATCAACAAAATTTATGCATAATTCTTTGGCGATAATGTTGAAGAAAAATGAAAAAAATTTCTTAGATAAATTGTTCATACGAATAATGTTGGATATTGATCTTTATAAATTTGAAAAATTTAAATTAAAATTTTTCAGCTATACTGGTTTAAAGCAAAGAATCGCATTGGCAATAACAATGTTTATATTACATTGTATGGATGTACTTTTGTTGACATTGGTTATATCTACTACATTCAATCTTGCTTGTTTGAAATATTTTAATTTTATTCATATTCATATGTGGAATTTATGGCCATTAGCATTATTTGATTGTATTTTTAATCTATATTGTGTTTATATTTTCATACGAAATGCTGTTCTTTTTTTCGATTTTGCTTCAATCAGTCTAATATTCTATGTATCACAGATGAATTTTTTGAATGAAAAATTTAAACAATTATTCGTTGATCTTAGTTATAGGAAAAAATTCTCATTACATTGTCAACGTTTATTATGTTGGCGACGTTTTCAAGTGGTCAAGATGTTTGGAATAATGCTTATTGTATGGCAATAATATCCAATATTCCATTGAATATAATGTGTATCTATAATTGTTTATTCAAATATGATTCATTGAATAATCGATTTATGTATTTGGGATTTTTAATATTTCAATCGTTTGTTATATTCAATGTATTTTTAGTTGCATCATTATTGAATTTTTCTGCCCATCAATTCAAACAACAATTACCAATGATTCAATTATATATGAAAGATTCATCAATTAAATGGCAGGTTCATGAATTTTATGAACGTTTATCAACTACTAGTAATGGTTTTGGTTTTTATTGTGGTCGTATTGCTATCATTAATTATCATAATTGTTTTCAGGTAATAATGTTGTTCAATAATGTTGTTCATTTCAATCATTTTCTTTTTCTTTTCTTTTTTTTCCGATTTCCATGTTTAGCTTTTAATGTCATATTTTGCTCTAATGCTGATAACGTTCACATTTTTTCATAATAATAATATATAAATCAAGAAATTTCAAAATCCAATAACATTATTTCAATTGATACATTCATTATATTTTTATTAATAATAAATTTCATCAATTTTTTTCCACAAAATACACCTATGGAATTAACACCGACACACACACACACAAACTTTTAATAATTTTAGTTAAAATTTTGTCATAGCAACCCGAATTAAAGATTCATTCAAAGTTTTATTTATACTAAAAAAAAAAAATTCCAAAACTTTTATTTTCTTTGGTTTTGTTTCGTTTAATCGATTTTTCTTTGATGAAAAAAACTTTATTGAATTAAATTTGAATTCTTTGTAACTCTCTAAATAATTAATTTGAAATTTTTTTTCCTATCATTTTCATTAATTACAATCGACAATTCGGATCGGTCGATTTTGTTTGATCTTTTTTTTTGTTTGTTTGTCAATTTATTTCCATCATCACCAATTTTTTCTTGTTTCCCGTCATCTAAACCAAGAAAAAAACAAAAAACAAAATTTATGAATAAAATCTTGTTCAATTCGACTTTCAATTCGAATTTTGTTGCTTACCCCAAATTTTGACAATATCAGCCTTTCGACTTTTGAATTTTTCGTTTTGCTTCATCAAGGCCTCCAGTCTGTTTTTTCGCACCCATATCATACAACAACAGCAACAATATCAAACGATTTTATGGGCGAAATTTCTTCGTTTTTTTCCTGTAATTTTTTGTTTTTGTTTTCCACACACACAATAGAATTTACCCAATGGATTTCAACGAATAATTTTATGACTTTTTTTTCTGGATAGCTAAGGTTTTAAAACGAAAAAAATAAAAATCCAAATATCATTCAATCGACGATGATGTATTCACCCGAATTATCATCATCATTAACCGTCGTCGGTCGTATAATCGAACAACAAAATACACAAAACAAGGTGTATTCGATGATCGTAACAATCGATTGTTCAATTCAATTCTTGATCGATAAGATTGATTTTTTGATTTCCATTAATCGCTGGTGAATATCATAGGAGATAATAAGGAGGAGAAAAAATGAATTAAATTCTCTTTTTCGATTTGAATGAATTTTTTTCTTGTGTTAAATGATGATGATGACAATGACAATGAGAAATTGAGATCCATAATAATAATAATAATAATACTTCACACTTTCATAAAACCTGGCTTTAAATCTTTTTTTCGCTTCACTTTTGTTCAATTTTGTTTTGTTGTGTTTGTTATGTTTTTGTTCATTCACAATGGATAAATATCGGAGAGTGTGTCTGTGATANACCGATAATGGTTTTGGTTTTTATTTGGGTCGTATTGCTATTATTAATTATCGAAATACTTTTCAGGTATGTTTTCTATATATACTTTTTATTACCTGAAACAACTTGAATAATTTATTTATAATTTTTTCATTTTTAAATTTAGCTTTTAATTTCATATCTTGGTTTTATGTTGATAATGTTTAAATTCTTTTTCAATAATAATGTCTAAAAATTATATCGATTATTATAGAATCAATAGATTTTTTTGTTGTAATTTGGTCATTGAAACTTGAAAATTCATAATTTGTTTTGCTTTTTTTTTGAGAATCAACATCCATTAACAGTTGTTCGAAAGTAATTTCAGCCTTTTAATATCAACCAATTTTACGGAATATTGATCATTATTGAGTTTTTCTTAATAAAAGTAATGCAAAAATTAATAAATGTTCAAACAAAAATAAATCATTATAAAATTAAAAGGAAATATATTCGATCAACTGCAGTCATAAGACAATTCAATGCCGCTTTAGCATTGAAAATATAAATTTATTAGTTATGTCGTTTAGTCATTTTTTTATTCTTGGTTCTCCACATTCTTTCTTCATTGTTTTTTAAAATTTATGAACAAAGTCATTATTGCTTTTGATCAACAATGTTGTTTGATCGTCTAAAATTTCATCATCAATTGGAACAATTGATGGATCAAAAAAATCATCAATGGTGGCTATTTGAATTCATTTTGCTCACCATTCAAACAGGACGTTTTCTATTTTATGTTATACTTAGTTTTATGGGTGAATCTGTATTACGATCATATTGTCCATTCGATACAACCGCTGCACCATTATTTCATTATTTTACACATTTTAATGATGGAACACCATTAAATCTTAATGATTGCCGTTTAACATCAATTATTTTAACATTATATTTCTTTTTTATTCTGCACAGTCATTATATATTGTTTTTGACCAATCATATTTTACTATCATGGACTATATTATATGATGTTTCTAATCGTAATTATGATCATTATCGTAATTCAATCATCAATGAACAAAATATGAATGTAACCAAAATGATAATCAAAGCATTAAGTAATAGCAATGATTTCGATGAACCTAAACCAAATTCATCATCATCATTACATAATTGTTTGGTCAAAATGTTGAAGAAAAATCCCAAAAGTTTTATTGATAAATTAATCATACAGCTAATGTTGAATATTGATCTTTATAAATTTGAAAAATTACATTTAAAATATTTTAACTATATCGGTTTGAAACAACGAATCGAATTGATATTGACAATGTTTGTATTACATTGTATGAATGTATTTCTTTCGACATTGGTTATATTTACTACATTAAATCTTGGCTGTGTTCAATATTTTAATTTTATTCGTATTCATATGTGGAATTTATGGCCATTTGCTATAATCGATTGTATTAATCATCTTTATTGTGGCTATATTTTCATACGAAATTCTTTACTTTATTTTAATTTTTCTGCAATCAGTCTTATATCATTAAAATCACAGATGAATTCATTGAATAGAAAACTTAATCATGTTTTTGGAACTTGTAGACACTTAATGAATTTTCGTTTTTATTATTTACGTTTATTTATTTGGCGAAAATTTCAACGACAACATCAACATATGACATATTGTATAATGAAAAGTGGTAATGATATTTTTAATGATGTATACTTTGTGGGCGTAATGGCAAATATTCCATTGAATATAATGTGCATCTATGATCTTGTATTTCGTTATGATTCATTAAATAATAGATTTATGTATTTAGGATTTTCGTTTTCTCAAATATTTGTTCTATCAAATATTCTGACAAATGCATCGACTATAAATTTTTCTTCTCATCAATTTAAACGACAATTACCCATTATACAATTATACATGAAAGAATTAACGATTAAATGGCAAATTAATGAATTTTATGAACGTTTAACAACTACCGATAATGGTTTTGGTTTTTATTTGGGTCGTATTGCTATTATTAATTATCGAAATACTTTTCAGGTATGTTTTCTATATATACTTTTTATTACCT